ATCGACTCATCCGAAACCTCCTCCTAAATAAATTGGGCGGATATATAGGCGTTTCAGAGAAGTAATCTTGATAAAGTCTCTTGTGGCCTTCAATTCGATTACGATAAATAACTGTATGACCTTGAATAGAACCACGACGTAATCCCAATTGCCTTTCATTATTTAGCCGCTCTTCTTCTAAAGCAGCTATTGCAAATATCTCCAATTCATTATCAGAATCAGAGTCATCAATAATCATCTTCATTACACTATTGCGAGCCATGGAAATTAAAAGAAGAATGAAGCTGAGTAATAAGCAACTGAAAATAAATATTAGGTTGTGTTTTGCTTCTTAAGCTTTGCAAGTTTCTGCCTAACAACTTTAATTTTCTGCAAAGTCAAATTTGAAAAACATATCAAACAACTTCCAAAATCAAAACACCAGCAACTTACATAATCTGTATTTAATTGATCAACAAATAGAAATGTCCTGTAAATAAAAATCACTCCAATCCAACATACAATAAGAATTATATTTAGCCATGGAGTACTTCAACAAGCATTCAACGAGAATTCCACTCAGTAATTAAATTACTACTAGTTCAACCATTCAACAATAGGTAGTTCCAAAAAACTTTTAACATATAATAAATAATTCCAACATAAACTGCATAAAAAACATAGTTCTGCCTACAATGGAGAATCAAATCCAACAATAAATAATCAAATCCAACAATAAATAATCAAATCCAACAATAAATAATCAAATCCAACAATAAATAATCAAATCCAACAATAAATAATCAAATCCAACAATAAATAATCAAATCCAACAATAAATAATCAAATCCAACAATAAATAATCAAATCCAACAATAAATAATCAAATCCAACAATAAATAATCAAATCCAACAATAAATAATCAAATCCAACAATAAATAATCAAATCCAACAATAAATAATCAAATCCAACAATAAATAATCAAATCCAACAATAAATAATCAAATCCAACAATAAATAATCAAATCCAACAATAAATAATCAAATCCAACAATAAATAATCAAATCCAACAATAAATAATCAAATCCAACAATAAATAATCAAATCCAACAATAAATAATCAAATCCAACAATAAATAATCAAATCCAACAATAAATAATCAAATCCAACAATAAATAATCAAATCCAACAATAAATAATCAAATCCAACAATAAATAATCAAATCCAACAATAAATAATCAAATCCAACAATAAATAATCAAATCCAACAATAAATAATCAAATCCAACAATAAATAATCAAATCCAACAATAAATAATCAAATCCAACAATAAATAATCAAATCCAACAATAAATAATCAAATCCAACAATAAATAATCAAATCCAACAATAAATAATCAAATCCAACAATAAATAATCAAATCCAACAATAAATAATCAAATCCAACAATAAATAATCAAATCCAACAATAAATAATCAAATCCAACAATAAATAATCAAATCCAACAATAAATAATCAAATCCAACAATAAATAATCAAATCCAACAATAAATAATCAAATCCAACAATAAATAATCAAATCCAACAATAAATAATCAAATCCAACAATAAATAAAGTGAAAAACATAGTTCCAACAACTAAATTTTTTTTGGGTAGTTCCAACAACTAAATCTTTTTTTGGAGAATTTCCATTTGGCGGCGATGAAGGTATTCTGCTTGCAATGACGGCAGACCACTTGTATCTATTGACATTATTCGCTCTTCCTCCTTCAATTGTTCCATTCGTATCTTTTCTTTCTCATTATCAACCTTTTCTTGTTCCGTTTGCGTCCTCTTTTTCTCATTATCAATCTTTTCTTGCTCTTGAAGATACGACCTTTCATACATCTCTATTTTCTTGTCATTCATTTTCTTTCTATCTTCCTTTAAATCCTCTAATAATATTAAAATATGTGACCCTCCTTCATTTCCACGGTCTTTATTCTTTCTTTTATTCAAATGTTCCTTTTCAGCTTTCCTACCCGGTGGTCTTTCCAAGTCTACATTGTCATTATGTGAAACATCATTGTCCTCTAAATTGATTGAATCCGGTGCACTAGGAGAACAAACGCCGGGAGTTGCCACTTTTTTTGGTTTTTGTTTCTTCATGCTATATTCCTCTCGCCATTTTGGTTGATCTCTTAACTCATGCCAACAATGTTCAAATGGAAATGACGATTTGTACAACTCTTTGTATAATTTCTTCGCATCAAGAATCTGAATAATAGATAAAAGAACACTAATTATCATGAGATTAGACAATTCCAATGATAATAAGTATAAAAAACTCAATGGCATTAATACCTTATCTTTTTCAGTCTTTCCACTTTGATTCAACCTTTGGATTTGGGCGAAGCACCCACTGAACTTATTCGTGGCAAGTTGAATTGCTGACCAACGGTTCATTAAAGAAGTTTGACTACGATTAGATGAAAAAGTTTTGTACTGGTGGAAATACTCCCACACTCTTAGCCAATAAGCCTTTGATTTTTGTTCATTCCCTTGCACTGGATCTAAGCTAATGTTAAGCCACGCCGATATGAGCATACTGTCTTCTTCTGTAGTGAAGTTGCCACCTCGTTGTGGTTTCTTGGTGGTTTCTATTTGAGGAGAGATTGGGGAAGACTGATCCCCTTGGTCAAGAGGTTCATCCATAAATTCATAATCAGTCCCATCATTCATCAAGTTGGTGAAATATGCATCATTTTGTTGCTGACTCATCTATAGACAAGGTAAAGAAAATTATGGCAACATATATTGGGTTGGAGAAATAACTAAGATTCCCAATTGGGAGCAAATTAATTAATAATTGGAGATCATGTAAATTAAAACACTAGTTGTTTTGTTGAAAATGATTCAATGATAATTTTAGATAAATAAATGGAGATCGTGTAAATTCAATGAAAAAGAATTCAATGATAGTTGCAACCAACTCTCTATCATTGATAGACAACTTAGGTATTGGGAATATTATTTGAGTTAAGAAGTTTAAGATTCATTTTGTTTCTTGTGCTTGGCATTTCTTTTATTTAATTCTATTTTGGTTACTTTTTTCTTGTCAGACATTCGGCATAAGAATGAAGGCAATACAAATTTGATATCTAAGATTGGCTATTCCTATAACAGACTGTCCCTCAGAATCGGAGACTAATAAAGCAGAATCAAAGAAAACAAAAACAATTTAGTAGTATGAAAGTATGAAACAAGGGAGATGAATGAGTTCAAGTTGCTATATTGATATTATTAAAGAATTGCAAGATGTGCATAAGAAAACTCTCTATACATAACAATATACAAATATTAGTCGGAGTAGTTATGTTCTAAACATATACAGAAAGAAAGGGTCAACTGTCGAGTACCTGACAATCACTCATCACCAATAAACAATGTAATTATGTCAATTTTGAATAAGATTCTAACCATAACTAGGCATGCTGAATGCAAAATCAGGAAAAGGTATAAGCTAAAGCTGAATAAGATAGCTATTAAAGAATTCTATCCTAATACAGAACTTAACACTGCATCTTTTAATCCAAATTTAGTAGATTCCAAAAACTCTCAAAGTTATCACACTTCATATAAGAATAATTTATTTGACTAAGAAACAATTTTTTGGAAAATGATGTGTGGATATCATTTTTCATTTTTTACTAGGTACATTGAGTTGGATAAAGGATCATATTTAGCTTATGAAATGAGAATTAATGGGTAAGGAATAACAATTTTTTAAAACTAATATACACTCCATGCTTATTCCCACATTTTTTGGGATCTTCAATGTAGATCAGTTCAACATGTGAAGTTTTTAAAGAACATGCGGAGTTTTTAAAGAACTATCCATGTCTCTTCCCCACTTTCATTCCCATTCCCAAACTCTTTTTCCACTTTATATTCATAATTTGAGCTAGTTATAATTGGGAGTAAATTAATGTCCAACTTGAAAATACATCTGCCCTAAGAGGGACACTACAGTTTACACTATAATATAAGCAACAAATATGAACAATCCAACAAGAGTGACACTACAGTCTTAGACTTTGACAAAAAGATAGCAGATCAATAAGCATATCTTTTACATAAGCATGAAGCTTGAAAGAGTCCATCAACACTCTTTATGAGATATATATTAAATTGGGCAAGGCATGTGCGAAGTGCACCTCAGTCAATACAACAATGACAGCAGATCTTTTATGTCAAAGCAAATCACAATACCCCATCTTCACAAAATTCTATCTTTTTTCTATGCTAGCATTTCATTAATTTTGCATAAGAAGATAGTTGGAGCACCTCTTTAGGAGAGGTCAAGGATTCAAGTCAATTAAAAAAAAATAACAAATATATAATGTTTTGATACCATCCAAGTTGATTTCTAGTCCTGTTGGACCCATCATTGCATGTAGCACACAATCTTGGTTACCAGCACTGTTGTTGGCACATCTTGAGTTGTTACTTGTCTCATGTATTTGCTTGCTGGGCACAAAGGCCTATGCTAAGCTACTTCTATGCTTTTTATAGACAGAATATATGCAACTATACTTGGAAAACTCGCTTCTCTCCACCAATATATAAACCAACATCAGTTTACGCTCCCTTTCTTAGAGAACTTGATTATTTATATTAATTGACTCATTAACAAGCAAGCAATTACTACCTCCTAAATGTTTCAAAGATAAGCTTGTCAATGTATCTCATTCTTAATATATATATATATATATATACATATAGGCAATTCATACAGTGAAGCCATTCATCTGTACACTGCATTTCTGTAACAAGGACCACATCCAACTATGCCTTGACTCTTCCGAGCAGTCAATTTTCTACAGAAAAAGATTTGTTTATTTCTGGTGCTTAAGTTTTTAGTTTTAAACTACTTATTGCTTCTACCATTATTTGTAACAACAAACTAAAACGACATTATCTGGTACTAAACCTCTAATTAGCTAAAATTAAAAATCCCAGGTAAAGTCATGGACCACCAAGTTTCTTTGCAAGAGCAGAACCAAGATTCAAGGCATCCACAAGTTGCTAGGCAACATGCCAACACCCAAGCAATTGGATGCATCTATGGTAAATGACAACCAAATAGACTGCACAAAGCTATCTATACTCAAACTATATGTAATTGTCAACCATTGGCTCAAAAGAATAACACCCAGGCAAGAGTTCTCGAGCAACAAACAGCAATATTACAACAATTAGTTTATTCCATCTTCCACTCAGATCAAAATCTTTTTCATATGCTCATATCAGCTGTATGTAAAAAAATATAATGTAAAACATCTAATCATTTAAAACCAAATTCTAACTCATCTGCATACCATACTGTAATCTAGTATCTTTTTTAGCAAGTTTCGGAATTTCTTTTGGCAGGTAATACTGAACAATAAGCTGTATGAAAATGGGTCAGAAAACTGGTAGCACACAGCATACTTGAGATCAAACAACCCCCAAGAACAATAACAACGATGATTTGTTTTGCCCTCTATTCAGTCTGTACTTATGAGCAACTAAAGCTAATGACCTTGCCATTTAGTGTACACTTAGATGAGTATAACTGAATAAAGCTCTTTGTTCTAGATCTATGTAATTCATAAGCTTATACTTTCACTTGTTCCTCCTGGGCTATGAAGCACCGAAAGATTCTAACCATAACTAGGCATGCTGAATGCAAAATTAGGAAAATGTATAAGCTAAAGTTGAATAAGATAGCTATTAAAGAATTCTATCCTAATACAGAACTTAACACTGCATCTTTTAATCCAAATTTAGTAGATTCCAAAAACTCTCAAAGTTATCACACTTCATATAAGAATAATTTATTTGACTAAGAAACAATTTTTTGGAAAATGATGTGTGGATATCATTTTTCATTTTTTACTAGGTACATTGAGTTGGATAAAGGATCATATTTAGCTTATGAAATGAGAATTAATGGGTAAGGAATAACAATTTTTTAAAACTAATATACACTCCATGCTTATTCCAACATTTTTTGGGATCTTCAATGTAGATCAGTTCAACATGTGAAGTTTTTAAAGAACATGTGGAGTTTTTAAAGAACTATCCATGTCTCTTCCCCACTTTCATTCCCATTCCCAAACTCTTTTTCCACTTTATATTCATAATTTGAGCTAGTCATAATTGGGAGTAAATTAATGACCAACTTGAAAAGACATCTGCCCTAAGAGGGACACTACAGTTTACACTATAATATAAGCAACAAATATGAACAATCCAACAAGAGTGACACTACAGTCTTAGACTTTGACAAAAAGATAGCAGATCAATAAGCATATCTTTTACATAAGCATGAAGCTTGAAAGAGCCCATCAACACTCTTTATGAGATATATATTAAATTGGGCAAGGCATGTGCGAAGTGCACCTCAGTCAATACAACAATGACAACAGATCTTTTATGTCAAAGCAAATCACAATACCCCATCTTCACAAAATTCTATCTTTTTTCTATGCTAGCATTTCATTAATTTTGCATAAGAAGATAGTTGGAGCACCTCTTTAGGAGAGGTCAAGGATTCAAGTCAATGAAAAAAAATAAAAAATATACGTTTTGACTTGTGGGGTTGTACTTGTATGCTCTTGTTTAATTTTTTTTTTTTTTTTTGTTTTTTTTTGTTTTTGTAAGTTAACATGAATCAAAAAAATATGTTTAGTGATATATATTTTTTTAATATTGTTTCTTATTTGTTATGATAGCAGAATTAACGTAGTAGTTCATACTTTCTTTTTTATTTTAGTGCATATCGTTTGCCCATCTAAGTTAAAAATACATATATATATATATATTTGATTTGTCATAGAAATTGATTGGTGCTTTTGATTAGTTGTTCTTGGGTCGGTCGATTAGCATTCTTCACATTGCAAAACTACTAATGTGAACATCGGCTACCAAAAATAAATAAAGAATTTTTTATATAATAAAAAAGAATGTAATGACCTTGAGACTGGGTCACTAACAAACAAAATGCCACTAGAATCCCACCCCTACTTTAATTAAGTTATAACTACGATCCTAATAAATTGTAATAAAAAAAACCCACAAAGCGGCCAGAATGTTTCTAGTAAGAGGGGAGAGATAGAGAGATGCTGTGCCGCCTGGCTTTTGACGAGCATTCACAGTGCCTACAGAGGAACAAGGGAAGTTTGTGCTATACATACATATATATATATATATATAGAGAGAGAGAGAGAGAGGGTTTATGAGTTGCATAGAAGGGGAAGACAGAGAGATAGAAGGATCCATACCTTGAGGAAGAGGTCGATGGAGGGAGTTGCAGACAACGTTGAAGGAGAAGATCAATTTTGCTAAAAGAGCAGATCGATTTCGCTGAAAGAGCAGATCGATTTCGCGGGAGAGACGTGTTTGGAGATCGATTTCACACTGAAGAAGCATATCGATTTCGCGGGAGATTTCGCAGGAGAGACGAGTTTGGAGAGCATTCAATCACTCTTCAATTGAAGCCAGCGGAGAAGCTGCGAGGGAAAATAGGAAGCCATTTAGCCAGCCCGTTGGAGTGAGAATATTAGGCTGATATGAGCTAAAATAGCTAACAGTGCCAATATACTTCCCTTGGAGTTGCTCTTAATGCCAACAATGTCAACTCGCTTAAATTCAATTATTTCATACTAATTCATTATATGGGCAAGTCAAGTTAGAATCAACTTATAACTTATTAATCCTTTTAGTTAGACTCCGGTTGTTTCGACGTAAAATGTTTTACATAAAAAAATATTTTTTTATAAATTGATTTTATACCCAAAAAAAATATTTTTAATTTTGTTTTTTGGTGTTTGATTAACACTTCAAATGAAAATATTTTATTACTTAAAAGAAATTTTTTGATTCAATAAAGTCTAATTTATGATTTTTTTTAGTGAGCAAAAATACTTATTTGAAAAAGCTAAATGTGTTGAAAACGTAATGAGTGAGAATCAATTTTATTAAAATTGACTTACAAAACTTTTAGAGGTAAGTCATTTTTAAAAATATGATGTAAAAATATTTTTCTTAATAAATATTTTACTTACTTTTCGTTCAACCAAACAACTGAAAACGAGTAATATTTTACGTCAAAACAAACAGAGTTTAAAAATAAAAAGTCAAGTTCAACTCGCGATTAGTTTAGTTGAAATTCATTTGAGATTGTCTCGTAAGATTAAAAATAAAAATAAATAAAAATAAATAAAAAGAAAAAAGATTTTAATACATTTTAAAATATGTTAAGTTTTGAAATCATATTTGAATAACCCATTTCTCGACAAGGTTGTGTAATTCTTCTTGTAAGAAAAAAAATTTATGGTGAAAATCTCAATTAACAACTTTAAATTGTATTTGGATTATGAATTTTCGATAAAAATTTAAAATATATATATGTGTGGGGATATATTTTCGAGTACCAACACATGGCAAGGTGACGCCGATGTATCAACCGAGGTATCACGTGTCCTGGTCATGACGCCGAGGTTATCTCGGCGACGCCGAGGTTACCTCCAAAGATATCGAAATCCGAGATAAGCGGATAAGGCACAAGAGTCCTAGAAAAGGGGAAGACTACAGTTAGGAAAGGATAAGACTCTTAGGGAGTTTATCCTAATCCTACTGGGAGTCCAAGATTGATAGTAATCCTAAGTCCATTAGAGCTAGGCTCCTGTTAAGACAAGGATTGAGTTAGCTATAAAAGAGAGGCACCCCTGTGGGTCTAAGGTACGCAATTTATATTCTGAACAGTGAGATTTGCACTGTTGGTTATCTTTAAGAGATATTTTACTGACTTGATCGTCGGAGTGCCCCCGGGTGGACGAGCCACCGCCGGAATCTCTTCTTTCTGTTGCAAGTCGTTCGGGCTTAATCTATTCTGCCGGTGTTCTCCAGTTGAGTACTAAGTTGGCAGTGTGGTCATAAAATCACCCACACAATTTGGCGCCGTCTGTGGAAAAGAAAGGAGAATAGGTGGCCAGTAACGGACAGAAGGAAAAGATCAGGGACGATATTTTTGCTGGGAGTGGGAGACCTATTGACCTTGATATCACAGGAGACGAATGCAACGCAGAAACTCGTGACCAGAGTCACGGAGTGAAAGACGTTGGCCAGACTGGCGACGTACCAAAGAAACCAGGTCGAAGTGGTTACTACAACGAGGACGACCTCCAGGTTTGGAAGGATAGATGCCTGCGGAGGGACGAAAAGGTAACAGAGATGGCAAACAAACTGGAAGACCTGCAGTCGGTCGTCAATTTCATGATGCAAATTAACGTCATGCAGCCACCGTTCCCGCTGCACGACACGCCGATTCTAGCAGCCAATACCCAGAAGAGAGGACAGAAAACAATCCCCGTAACCCCTCAGCACAACAGGAGCGAAAGATACTCTCACCGACCTTCTAGGGAAGTTGGACGAAGAGAGTCAAGAAGAGAAAAATCACGGAGGGCGCATCGCACAAAGGAGGCAGACCCCAAAGGACATCGGCATGTTCAGGGGCAGGCATTGTGCTTTGACACAACTTATGGAGAAGGGTCGAAAAGGACTCACCACGAAGCTGAAAGTAGCGCACCAAAAAGACTGAAAGCATGAGATAGCCGAGCTCTTGGGCGAACGAAGGAGGACTTAAGACATTACCTCAAGAGGAAGCAACAGAATGCCGACACCGAGGTAACCTCCCCAGATAAGCCGAGGACACCATTCTCGGTAGAATTGGACAGGTTTGAGGCGCCGAAGAGATTCAGTATGCCGAGGTTTCAAATATACGATAGTAAGTCAGACCCCAACTTCCACGTTAGATTATATTTGAACTCAATGGCATTGTATAATTGCAACGAGCCGTTGCTCTGCAAAGTGTTCCCCTCATCTTTTGGGGAGATTGCATCAGATTGGTTCCATAAATTACCAAAAGGAAGCGTGAAGACTTGGAAAGGCCTGGCCAAGATGTTCGTGGCCAAGTTCGTGACAAACAAGCTGCAGCCATTAAGGGTGGACACATTGATGGCCCTGAAGATCAGCAAGGATGAAGGCCTTAGGGCCTATGCAAAAAGATACTATGAGGTATTCAATCGAATACCCGAATGCAATCAAGAGGTGGTGGTCGTAGCTTTCAAGAACGGCCTGAAAGACAACTGTCTACTACGAAAGTCTTTGGCAAAGACATTGCCAAAAAGTATGGAAGAGCTCATGGCAAGAATCGAGAAGTATGCCAGGGCCGAAGAAGACACGTCGAGAACTAAGGAGATAAAGCAAGAGAAAGGAAACGACTCGCCGAAACAAGACCGAGGTAACAATGGATCGAGTAAATAAGAGGCCAAACTGAGGGTCACATAGGCAGTAATAATTGTGTTCCAAATCCCGATTCCCAAAGTCCTGGACCGGATTCGGAACCAACCCTATTTCAGAACACCAGCGAAGGCACCAGAAAAGTTTATGGGAAGAAACGTTGGCAGACATTGTGCTTACCACAATGAAGATGGGCACACGACTCAGGGTTGTAGAGCCCTGAAAACACACTTGGAAGAACTGGTGAGGCAAGGCCATCTGAGAGACCTCATCAATGAGGCTAGGAAAAGGGAAGAACATGCAAGATTGCCTTAGGCGGCAGCAGCTCCGCCTCTTCCAGCACCATAACCTCAGGTAGGAGGACCTCGGGTAGTCAATGTGATTCACTCGAAGGTCAACGAGAACGAAATTAGGGGGGAGACCCAGAAGGTGAAGTACCTGCAACATGTCTACCAAGTCGGGGAGAAAAGACATCGGGCAGAGGAGCGCCAAGGACCAGTAGTGTCCTTTTCAGAAGCCGACCTTGAGATGGTACAGCATCCGCATAATGATGCCTTGGTAGTATCCCTCCAGGTTAGGGAGTGCCAAGTAAAACGCATCCTGATTGACCAAGGCAGCTCTTGCGACATCATGTACGTTTGATGTTATAAGGAGCTTGGCCTTCACCCAAACGATATGGAGCAATCCAATAGCCCAATGGTCGGGTTCAATGGAACGCCGACATGGCCACTGGGAACAACCAGCTTGGAGGTGCAAGCGGGCACTAGGAAGGTAACAACAAAGTTCACCGTAATCGACACATCCGCCCCTTACAACATCATCTTGGGAAGGCCTTGGTTGTATGCAATGGGGGCAATTCCCTCAACATTGCATCAATTATTGTGATTCCCAACAGAGTATGGGATAGAGGAAGTTAGAGGCGATCAGCTGCAGGCGAAGAATTGCTCCATGGCAGCAATGAAATCTACCTGCAGCATACGAGAGCCAGAAAAGGCAGAAATTGAAGATAAGGACGTGAAAGTCCTAGAAGACGTCGGCAAGGAGCCAACCGAGAAGAGCGAAGAGGCACTGAAGAAAATCCTCGTCCAGCATGGGGATGAAGAACGCTTCTTTCTTCTCAGCTCAGACTTAGCCAAAGAAGAGGAAAAAGAATTGGAAGCTTTTTTTAGAGCAAACATTGAGGTGTTCGCGTGGACGCCTTACGAAATGCCAGGCATTGACCCTGAGGTCACTTGCCACAAACTGAATGTTGATAGGTCGGCCAAACCTGTAATTCAACGAGCCAGAAGACCGACGTTGATGCACGTCGAAGCAGTAGAAGAAGAAGTAGACAGACTTTTGGAGGCTAGGGCCATTAGAGAAGTTCACTACCCGACATGGCTATCCAATGCAGTGGTGGTAAAGAAGAAGAATAGTAAATGGAGGGTCTGCGTAGACTTTACCAGCCTCAACAAAGCCTATCCCAAAGACAGCTTTCCTCTATCCAAGATTAACCAACTAGTAGATGCTACTTCAGGGCATGGAAGAATGAGCTTCCTAGATGCCTACAGGGGATACCACCAGATAGCCATGTACCCCCCAGACGAAGAGAAGACCTCGTTCATCACCCCAAAAGGCCTATACTGTTACAGACTAATGCCTTTTGGGTTGAAAAACGCAGGAGCAACTTATCAAAGGTTGGTAACCAAAATGTTCAAACACCTGATTGGTTGAACAGTAGAAGTCTATATCGACGACATGGTCGTTAAGACCAAGGAGCCTGAGGGTCATCTCGCCGATCTAAAAGCAGTCTTTGAAATCCTTAAAACATATTGGCTCCGACTCAATACGTCGAAGTGTGCATTTGGAGTTGGATCTGGTAAGTTTTTAGGATACCTGGTGACCAGAAGGGGCATCAAGGCCAGCCCAGATCAGATCAAGGCCATCCTAGAGTTGAAGAGTCCGACGTCGGCAAAACAGGTGCAGATGTTAACTGGAAAGGCCGCAACCCTGAACAGGTTCATAAGCAGAAGCTTAGACAAGTGCAAACCTTTCTTCAACTT